CTTAGCAAGAGGTATGGGGCTCGTTGTGGACAGATGCTGCCTGTTTGAGAGAATTTAGGAAACTCTGAAGCAGGAGCCAGAACAGGCCAATCCTATGGTAAAGCCACTGGAAACAGCTTGGGTGGGCCCAAAAGTTGGGGCAGGACCTCAGGGAATCACCAGGGCAGGGCAAACAGTGTGAGCCAGGTTGCTGGAGTCCCAGATATGGGCCTGTCTCCTTCTGTGGGGAAGGGCTCACCAAAGGAACAACAGCCTCCACCAGCATGTCTGTCCAGGAGAAAACTGCCCCTCCAGCCTTCGCCCTGAGGCCAAATGCAGTTCTTCCATGTATGTCTCTGGCGTCCCTCAAGCTGTCTCCCTTCCTTGCTGACAGGGAGCACATCCGAGTAAGTCTGTGCTCAGGCCCTTTAAGAGGAACTGCCTGGGACTCCAGTACCCTTAGCCTCCCTCAGCCTCAGTTCCCGCTGATTTTTACAGTTATGGGGACTTCTCTTCCTGGCACTGGAACCCTGAGCTGGGCACCTGGTGTAGGATAGGGACCCCTCACTCCTCAGGGAGGACCTTCCCAGCCGAGGTGTCCTCCTGATTTTTATCCGCCACACGTGGTTGTGGGACCAGCCTGTCCGCTTCCGCCCCTCCTACCAGTCTCGATGGGGCTGCTGCTTTAATTTCGTAGTTGTAGGACTTCCATTCAGCTTGATGTCGGGAGGTTCTGAAGGATGTTAGTTCTGTAGTTTATTGTAATTTTGATGTGGTTGTGGGAGGAGGCAAACACTGCGTTTACCTATGCTGCGTTCTTGCCTGGAAGTCTGTCGAGAAGCACTGTTTTAAAGCACACTGATAAGAATGATGACGAAAATATTCTTGTAGAACTTGCTCAGATGTTTTGCTACAATTGTGAATATTGAGATGGATGCACCATTAGATCCAATATAGTATGGCCAGGACAGCTCACATTAGCAGAAGTTCGTCTCTTGATCTTGACGTCTCTTAGTGCATGCCACCAACAAGAATGCAGCATCCATCTTCCTTGGTGATAGGGATACCTTAGTTTAAGAAAACTCAGTATACCCAAATTCAGTTGGTTCTCCCTGCTCCCGACCTAACAGTTGCACCAGGCCCACACTAATTAACGCCCTTCTTCAGACGTCCCCGCTCCATTGTGGCAGACACTTGGTGCATCAGTGGCCTTGACTCTCGGCTCCCTGCAGTGTCCTGTGCTCCCAGCTCCTCTGTCACCTGGTCACAGCCTGTACTTCTGCAGTTTTCACATTGAACTTCCCTTATCAGACCTTCTCACCCTGTGAGTCAACATTACTAGTCACCTTCTAGGTAACAGCTCCAGTTGTGGCCTTGCCCCACCTACCCTGCACCTTCTGCCATCCCCACCAACCTCGGCTTCCATTTGACACGCCCCTGTGTCTTCTCCCCTGGCCTCAGCTCTAAGGTGAGGACACACAGGGCCTCCCTTCAGACTGCACAAGGGCCGTACCAGTCCGCAGAGTGAGGCGTGTGCTCTTTTAAACAGCAGTGCGTGGTGTATCCAGGAGGGTTATCTGCCAGTCAGTGCAGAAAACGAACCACTTCAGCCTTTCGAGCAGAAGGGCTTTAATATTGGGAACGAGGGGTTTGCTGCACTGTTGGAGGGGTGAGGGCAGCTAGGCCGGGCCTACAGAATGACTCCTGGGCTGTAGGGATGCAGTGCTGCCCGCCCCACAGCTGTTCTGGGCTCCCCAGGAAGCTGAAGTATGGACCCCTGAAGTCGAGGTCCGGGGATCACTGAGTTCGGACAAGAAGCTGCCACCACCACCGCCCTGGTTTTTGACCCAGTCATGATCTAACTATCACTGACCCACACTCTGAAGTTGAGGCCCTGCTCAGCCCAAGGGAATGCGTGCACAGAGGCCAGACCCCACTTTCTGCCCAGACTGGGCTTCAGCGCCTCCTGCAGGCGGCGGCCCCTTTCGTGGAGTAAGTTCCTTCCCAGCAGGCGTGGTCCTCGGCTCCAGCCAGGAGACGCAGTGTTCCTTCCGCCTCTGCCTTTCTAAGCACGGAAAATTCTTCCTTCCAGAGGGCTCCTAAAGCTTTATACAGGGTTGGCAAAAGTAGGCTCACAGTTGGGCTTTTTTTTGGTATGGAATATAATGCAATAATTAATACATAATAATAATACAAGAATAAACTCTGTGTTTCACATACTCACAACTGTAAACCTACTTTTGCTAAACCCTGTATTTTTATTTTGACTTAGTTTTACCTGATTCCAGAGTGACAGGCTGGATGGAGATGTGGGAAGTACGGCTGCACCGTTGTACTGGCTTCAACATTGGATGGTGTTTGTTTTGGGCACTAGGATTTCATGTCCAATCCTGATCTTTGTTACTGAACACGTAAAGCAGTGATTCTCAGCCTTCCTGATGCCGCGACCCTTTAACGCAGTTCCTCATGTTATGGTGGCCCCCAACCATAAAATTATTTTTGTTGCTACTTCATAACTGTAACTTTGCTACTGTTATGTCTTAGGCGACCCCTGTGAAAGGATCCCTTGACCCCCAAAGGGGTCGCACCCCACAGGTTGAGAAGCGCTGAAGGGATGTTCTCCCAGCACTCTAATTAGCAAGAACTTTTTCTTGCTCATGATATGTTTGTATAACCTGAATGCCTGTGGGCTTTGGGGGGTGTTTGGGTCTCAAGGGGCCTGTGGCAGGGCTCTCAGTTTGGGGGTGTGGAAGGCTGTTCAGGAAGCTGCTGTGATTTGGCTTGTGGCTGCTGAACTGGTTGGCGTTTTGTGCCAAGGAGGCAAGGGCTGACTTGTAATCGGGGGAAGTGGGATTCAGAAGCTCTCCATGCTTTGGGCAGGGCACTCCTGGGTGCCCTGGTCAGAGTCCTCTGCCTCCCGCTCAGGTCCTGGCATGGTGTTTTATGCAGAGGAGGTACTCAGAATGGTTTATTTATAACATGGAATAAAATGAAAGGAGATTAAATGCAGGAAGGAATTAGGAGACTCATGATTCTGTGTCTCCCAGCTCTTCACCTCACTCCCTAGGTCCTTGGGCCCTCAGTTTTGGGGAAAGCAAATCAGGGCAGCTGTATTTAGGGCTTCTGCTGCTCCCTGGAGCTTTCCTAGAGAGCATTCAGAATGAGGCATAGCTTTCTCAGGAGGATACACGGTATGCAACACCAGTATGGAGCAGAACCCAGAGGTGGTTCTCCAACAGATCTTCATCCTGCTTCCTAATTGAATCTTGGAATGTGTTCTGAAGTGTAATCCCTGGGGCCGGCATCCAAGGCCTTTGTGACGGGCTCAGTGCTCCAGCCAGCTTGGGTGCTCATGGTCCCCTGAGCTGTGCTAAGCGTTCACTTTCTTACCTTTGCCTGTGCTGGCCCTGCCACCAGGTGGTGCATGCAGGGGCATCTCTCCACACATCCCACCTGGAGACACGCTCTCTTTCAAGGCCAACTCAGTCACACTGCTTCATAGCATCTCTTGACCACCGGCCATAGGAACTCCCTCTTGTCCTGTCGCAGTACCAGATCACTTTTCTCTTCTTGCTCCTGGCCATCACCTCTTTCTGCCCATTAATTAGTCCTGTGGATGCTGGGCAGGTCTCCCTCCCAGCCAGCCCTGTATTCCCAGAGTAGGTACAAACACATGTTTGTAGAGTGAATGATTAAAAAGTGAAGCAAAATACCCATAAAACAGAGGGGAAAACCCAAACCAGTTAAAGAGAAAACCGATTCTGACAAAGGGCAGCAGAGCAGTGTGGTGAAGCCCACGGGTGCAGGTTCACACGGCCTGGATTTGGTCCTGGCTCTGTGACCTCAGACAAGCCACGTCACCTGTGTCTCAGCTTCCTCATGTGTTAAGTGAGGATAAGGATAATACCTACCTCACAGGGCTGTTGTAAGAATTCTACTATTTTCAGGTTTATAAAGTTCTTAGAACAGTGCCTGGCACATAATAAATGCCAATCTATACTAATACATCCTTCTTCCCCAAATAAACTTTCAGAACTTTCTTACTTATTTGTCAGAAGACATTTCCAGAAGTTGGGGTAGGGTTGGGGGTTCTGAGCTCCCACTGGATCTTCACCTTTTTTTAAACCCCACAATTGTGACCAAATCAGATGGAGATTTTTTTCCCTGAGAGGGGTCCATTCTTCCTGTGGAAGGGAAGAAGGGCAGGAAGTCCCACTGTCCAAGGACCAGCTGTGACCAGGCTCTGTGCAAGGGCTACTCATACAGATGCTGTTTAATCTTCACACAGCCTCTACTGTGTGTGACTGTTACTGCCTTGCAGGAAGCTGAGGCTCAAAGAGGACCAGCATGGCCAGGAGGACACAGCTAGTCATCGGTGGCATGGCTGCAGCTGAAACGCAGATCTGACTCTGAAACCATGTTCTCTTGACCACTTCATGTGACTTCCCTGCCACCTGGGCTGGTGGAGGAGTGCGTGTGAGTCGGCCTCGCCCCGTGTTGGCTCACACGTTGGCAGTACAGGTGTCAGGAGAGAGAAGAGCAGATTATCTGGTCTGCATTCTGGGGCTGGAAAACCCACAAGCGGCCAGCAGACCCATGTTCAGCTGTAAGTTCACAGAACGCTACCCAGATCCCTGCACCTTTGCCAAGGTGTCACCTAGGTTTCACTTTTCTAGCCTACGGCTTCTCTTCTTGGTTAGAAATGGTCTTGTTGGTTTTAAGAATAATTATAATCATCTTTTTCTCATTTCAGCTGATGTGGTATACCAATTTATTGATGGTATCAGTATTCATATCATTTGTACGGTATTTATGCGGGGCCAGTCATGCCAAGCAACCTGTAGAGGAAGTGAGCTCCCAAGGAATTTACAGTCTGTCTTAATGTACACTTTGCACACAGAGGATGCACGCTCTACTTAAAGCACCCTTCCACCTTTGGGGTAACCAAATGATGTCTTATATTTACATACCCCACCCCCCCACCCCCCAGGAAGCATGGAATAAGGACACCTTACCTCTATTCTAAATCTTTATGTTGAGTTTATATTTTTGAAAATTCTGTTCTGTTGTAACAGGTATTAGAGCCCCAAGGTTCTCTGAGGACAGCATATATTGGAAGCCCATCTGTCAGCCTTGCCAGCTTGAAGGCAGCCGAATTCTGTGGGACAAAATGTGATCCAAGAGTCACTATCAATGATGGCGTGTGGGTGGGCCAGTGATGGCATGATGGTTTTCAAACTTAGTCACAATTAGCACGTTCCTTACTTACTGCTAGTAGATGTGCACAGTGACAGGTGCACCTCCTTCGTGAGAAACATTGAGCGCTATCCTACACTTGCCCCTGAAGAACTGTCCTAGCCAGAGGGAGTATACACAGCCCACCTATAAGTCAGTCCAGCCCAGTCCCTCTCCCCTCTCCCTCCTGCCCTCTCTCTTTCTCCTTCCCTCCCACCCCTCCACCCTCCTTTCATTGTTACAAATTGAATTGTGTCGCCTCCCCTCCCCACCCCCCCCCCGGTTTCATATGTTGAAGTCCTAACTACCAGTAGCTCAGAAAGTGACCATATTTGGGAACACGGTCATTACAGATATTATGAGTTATGGTGAGATCATTAGGGTGGGTCCTAATCCAATATGACTGGTGTCCTTATAAAAAGGGGAAATTTGGCCCTGGCCAGGTAGCTTAGTTGGTTGGAATATCATCCCATACACCAAAAGGTTGTGGGTTCAATTTTCAATCAGGGCACCTACCCAGGTTCAATCTCTGGTCGGGGTAGGTATGGGAGGCAACTGATCAATGTCTCTGTCTCTCTCTTTCTCTCTCTCTGTCTCTCTCTCTCCCTCCCTCCCTCCTTCCCCCCCTCCCTCCCTTCCTCTCTCCCTAAAAATAATCAATAAAAACATGTCCTCTGGTGGGGATTGGAAAAAATAGCGGGGTGGCGTTGGGGTTTGGACACACACACACACGCACACATGCACACATGCGCACACACATGCACACACACACATGCACACAGGAAGAACACCATGTGAAGATGAAGGCAGAGGTCTGGCTTTGCTTCTGCAAGCTAAGGAAGGCCAGAAATTGTCCACATACACCACCACCACCACCCACCCTCTGCCTTGGGAGAACCAGGCCTGGTTTTAGCACCTTCTCACACTGGCTCTTTGAGGTGGTCAGGTGAACAGGAGCTTCTTAGTTGTAATGCAGGTAGATGCGGGGTGTGGGTGTCTCATGCGGAGGCTCCATGCATGTGCTCAAGGATGGAGATCTAGGAAAACAAGAGAAAGGATCTGGTGTATGCAGGGAGTGTGGGTTTTGGGGGCAGATAGACTGGCACAATTTAAAATTCTGACTGTGCCTTTTTCTAGTTACTTCACTTCCCTGAGACTTTGCTGCCTTATTGATATAGTAGAAATAATAATAATACCTTTGGGGTTGTTGTGAGAACTAAAGAGAATGCAGGTAAAGCTCTGAGAAAAGTACTTGACTCACAAGATGATAGCTGCCTTAAGTATTATTATTAATAAGCACTTTGTGGGAAATAACTTTAGCAGTGGCATGTTGTAGAGGACAGTCTTTGGATTTACTTTCCTGGGCTGAAATACCGAGTTCTGGCTGTGTGTGTGTGTGTGTGTGTGTGTGTGAGAGAGAGAGAGAGAGAGAGAGAGAGAAATGGAGATTAAGTTATATGTAAATGTTGTACTTTCTATATGGTTTGTGAGGTTTTCCAGCCTTTTTACTTTGAACATATTTTGCAAACAAGAAATTTATCTGTTTGTTTATTTTTATTTATTTTTTATCCTCACCTGAGAATATTATTTCATTTATGTTCAGATAAATGGAGGGGGAGAGAGAGAGAAACATTGATGAGAGAGAGACACATCGATTGGCTACCTCCTGCATGACCCCGACCCGGGCCAGGAACTGAACCGCAACCAAGGTATGTGTGCCCCTGACCAGAATCGAACCCACGACTCTTTGGTCCGTGGGCCGACGTTCTAACTGCTGAGCCAAACCGGCCAAAGAAAGACATTTATTTTTTAAAAGGAGAAATATTTTGCCCTGACTTGTTGCTCAGTGGTTAGAGCACTGACCTGCAGACCGAAAGGTCTCGGTTTCGATTCCGGGTCAAGGGTACATACCTGAGTTGTAGGTTCAATTCCCTGCCCCAGTTGGAGTCATGCGGGAGGCAACCAATTGATGTGTCTCTCTCACATCAATGTTTCTCTCTCTCCCCCTTCTATTCTATCTAAAAATCAATGGAAAAATATCCTTGGGTGAGGATTAACACACAAAAAAAGGAGAAATATTTTACTAAGTCTCAAATGAATAAAACATAAGTTAGATTCAGCAGTTTGATAACAGTGGAAGGTTCTTGAGAATGTTTCCAATTATACCTAGTTTTAGGATTTCTTTGTATCTTGCTCAACTTATGTTTTCGTAAGCAGTGGTTTGCATTTCTAATTAATGTTGGTGCCTGGCTGGTTTACTGCTCAGTTATATTTAACAGAGAAAATCAAGAGTGGGTGGGAGAGCAGTATGACATGGTTGGCCCAGCCCAGAACTGGGACTTAGAGCCCAGGCGACTTCGGGCGGCCTGCAGGTCACCTAGCGCAGGGCCAGACCACCACGCAGGAAGTAGTGAGAGGAGGGCTGCTACCGCCAGGCTGGTTGGGTAGCGATGTTTTCACCTCACCTCCGATGCCAGGTGGTTCCACTGAGGGAGAGGGGACCAGCGCTAGAGTTGTGTCACCCAGACAGGACTGTGTGTCTGTGTGTGCGGGGACCTCCCAGCATCAGCCGGCAGCCCGCCCTGGAGGAAGGGTCTCGCTGTGCAGGAAGCCCTGGCTGGTGGGAGATTTATTCATGCTTGGTTTCCACTTGCTGCCTAAGATGTGAGGTGGCCACCTCCACCGTGCCTACCTACGGTCAGGGCTACACCGATGACAGGGCTTTGTCATCCACTTGAGGTGGGGGCACTGGGAAGGGGTTGATGGTGGGGAAGATCTCTCTTCAGTTTAGCCCCGCGGCACTTTATGGCCCTTTCTTTTTAGAAAGGAGTTGGGAGGCAGCTTTCAGTCTTGTTGAAGTGAAGCTGTAAATGCAAGGTCTTCTAGGCAAAACAAAACAAATGCTCTCTGCACAAGGCAGAGGGGGGAGCTGCCTCTGTGCGTTTGGGATTTGTTTTTATTTTCTAATCTTATTAGCAATAGAAAAAGACTCTGAGGAGCCTCTGATCCGATTACCGCCCGGGGCAGTTTATCTGTTGTCTGGGGGATCCCTGACCAGATGTCCAGGGCTCCAAGTGCCTCTCCCTCTCCTCCATGCCCTGGGATGGTTTGGAAAATTCAGCGAAGGCCTAGGAGGTAGGTGCTGAGGATCAGGTTTTGTCTCCTCTCTGGTATATGGGTTGTCCAGCCCGTTGGTTCCTGAGGGGTATAGTTTCTTGCCCTGAGGTAGAGGTGACAAAGGGAAGACGAGTGAAAGAGCAGTAAAAAGGGGACTTGGCGCCTGTTGAGTCCATTGGGCAGCCACCCTCAGCGCTTCTCTGCTGAGAGCGCCCCAGACCTCTCAGGAGAGCAGGCCCACCCCTCTCCTCCTGTGTGAGTGCAGCTTCACACCTCACCAGCAGGGGTCTCACCTGTGCCACCTCCAGGGCTGCAGGCAGGTGGGAGAACCTCCCCCTGGCTCCTCCCCCACACAGTTTAGAATCACTGAGCTGTGGAAGTTGCAGCCTAATGAGATTTAGGCACCATTTTGAGGCTCTGAGAGAAGAAGTATTTAATCCCTTGAGAGAGGGTGTGTTTGGAGCCAAGCTGGGGCTAGAACCTTCTTGGGGGTGGCCTGGGGGTTCAGAATAAAACAAGAGCATCTCTCCATCATGACCACTAATGAATGATGGTTCTGCAAGGAAACTTTATCATTTTTCTCAGAGTGATAATAAAATTTCATTGATTGTTTGATAATCACTTTATTAATGACAACAGATTGGGCACTTTGACATAAAGAGCCCACAGCTGATTTAAAGAATTCCTTTTCCTTAGGAATCAACACCCGTGGGTTCAAAGTCAATAGTTAAGTACTAAACATTAGTGAAATGCTACCTGAAATTGATCAGAAATGTTCACACTTGTTAAAATGCAAACGCTCTGGGCAGAGGCCAGGCTTTGAGCTTATTAAGAAGTGATGATAGGGGAAGAGAAGGTGGGAAATGGGGTATAAAACTTTCAATGCTGGTGACAGTTGGCAGTGTCACCAAGAAAGAAAAATTAAGCCCAGTGCTGCTGGGGACACCCTGGTTTCCTCCTGCCTCACCAGCAGTGGCAGAATGCCTGCAGGGGCCTGTGTCAGAGAGCTCACCCACCCCTCGGACTGCAGCGGGTGGTTGGACCAGATCCCCGGGTCATTGCTCTGTGGCCCGTGGGTGGACACAGAGGTGTGCACTTGGCAGGAGCTTCCGGGAATGGCCTGCAGTTTCCAGAGGAGTCTTAGCTACTCATGCCCCAAAGCGGCACAAGGCACAAACCCCAAACGGCATCCTCCCCAAGTGGCCTCGCTGCCCAGAGGAGCAAGGCCTTTATAGCAATTGACATGCCTTGTTTCCTTTGACTGCTGCTTTTTGTAGAAACTGTAAGTAAACCACTCTTGAGCCATTAACCTTTTAAAACTGTGTTGTTAAAGGATGATTTCTTGTTATTGTGTCCCAATTTTCTGTCTCATCTAACAGATTTCTAGCACACATATGCCTTTTTTTTAGAGCAGAAATTTAAGTGGAAGTCTGTTAAATAATTGTGTGTGAGCCTCCTTATTGTGGACCTCAGGTGGCATTTTGCCATTAGGCTCAGATCAAATGCAGTAATGTGGTATCTAGATATGTCTGTGTTTCTCGAACATTGGTACATATTCTGGGGACCCTTGGCTTGGGGAGGCCCTGGGGTTCTCCAGGTCACAGGATAAATGTACTGCACTTTCCTCAGAGTCAGTTTTGCTCAAAGGTTCAGTAGGAGGAAATTGATATGTTAACATATGTGGGTGTACTTAGAGTATTAAAGTTTTATAAATATTTTAGACAAGACACAATTTTACATGCAGGGCACCAGCTGTGTCTCAAGTCCCTTCCACGCTGACCTGTTTTTTCCCTGGGGAAGTTTTAGAAGCCTTGGTCTGTATTTTTAGTGATATTATCATTTTATCATTCTTACAGTATTATTCTATCAGGAATTATACCTATGAATATAAGAAAAGTAATACAAAGTAACCAGTGGTCCCAGACATCAGTGCAGCCACTTCACACCCAGGGACTCTCATAATGCAGGGTCGAAGGCCTTCTCCCAGGGGGGATTCTGATTCGATTGACCTTGGGTGGGCCTTCTGCATTTTGGGCAGACACCCACAATGATGATGCCTGTAGCTAGATTTGGGAACCAAAAAACAAGTTTATTTTGACTATAGATGCTGAGAAAGGTATTTTATGGATCAGGGGGAAGAATTTTTTTTGGTAGCCTTTTTTGGTTAATGTTTATTAGTTGCCAACATTTAAAATCAGGATATTTAATAGCCTTCCTTTAAAACTCAGAAGTCTGGATCATACCAGGGGCCTGCTCTCCAAGGCCCATGCCTGAGCTGAGCAGTGACAGCCCATTTTGAGGCCCATAATCCCTGGGTTCCAACACTTGGGGCCTCCCTGTATCTCCTTCCACCCCCCAGCTTCACTCATTTACATCACCACCTGGCTGTCTGGGCACTGAAAGTTTTGATTCCTGCTGGGTGAACACGTGGTCCTGCATAACGTTCCTCAATCATAACTTGAGCAGCTGAGTCACAGTGTCCTTTTGCAGTGAGCAGCAGCAGTCGATGGCTGCCCCCATTCCCCGCCTCCTGCTCTCAAGAGAACCGTTTAGGGAGTAGGACTTCAACTGAGGAGTTATTGGGACCAAGAATCATCACCTCTGCTCAGTACTTCTGTCTTTCTTTTTTTTTTTTAATCCTCACCCGAGGACATTTTTCCATTTTTTGTTCAGGTAGAGTGGGAGGGAGAGAGAGGAACAGAGAGAGAGAAACATCGACGTGAAGGGACACATCGAGTGGCTGCCACCCGCACAACCGACCAGGGCCGGGGACAAACTGCAACCGAGGTACGTGCCCTTAGCGGGAACCGAACCCGGGTCTCTCAGGACCGCAGGCCGACGCTCTAACCGCTGAGCCAAACCGGCCAGGGCTCTCCTGTCTTTCTTTTAAACATTTTTTGTTTTAATCCTCACCGAGGTTATTTTTTTTTGTTCTATTTATCTTCAGGGAAAGAGGGGGGGAGAGAGAGAGAGAAACATCGATGTGAAAGAGACACATTGACTGGTTGCCTCCTGCACGACCCCAACCAGGGCCAGGGACAAACAGCAACCGAGGTACGTGCCCTTGACCGGAACTGAACTCATGACTCATTGGTCCGAGGGCTGACACTCTAACCGCTGAGCCCAACTGGCCAGGGCAATACTTCTGTCTTTCAATTGCTTCCCCATGCTTCTGTTTCTAGAGCCTCACTTTTCTCTCCTGAACCCGCCCTCCCACCAAACACATACATACACGCACAGTTTCTTCACGGCCATCCGAATGCAAAGGCTGACCCAGTGTGCCCCTGCCGACCCAGAGTGCCCCTGCTGACAATCAGAGTCAAGGGCAAGTGCTCCTCCCCTTTTCTTTTCACCGTTGGTCCATTATAAACTCTAGGTGCATCTGCTTGTAATGTATGAAAAGGAGCCCAGGCGCCATCAGGAGATAGTTTTTGAAGGCTTTTCTTCCTTTCGCGTCATTGTGAAATTACTGGCATACATCACTGTGTGAGTTTACGGTGTAGAGCATAATGGTTTGATTTGCATGTACGTATTGTGAAATGATTACCACGGTGGGTTTAGTTACCATCCATCATCTCATATAGATACAATAAAGAGCAAAGAATGAAATTTCTCCTTGTGATGAGAAGGAGATAGTTTTTCTAGGAAAATGAGCTCAGAATCCCAAACAAGACTTGAAGCAGTGACCTGTTGGAACATCATACTTCTGAGCCCTTGCTGGGAGGCTGAGTATAAGCATACGGTTTGGCAGGGACATTAGGCACTGTCCCTTGCTGCTGGCCCTGCTTAGCAACCAGAAGCATGGCTCCTGCTCCTGTCTTCTTCTGAGATATTACAGGGGCTCTTTTATTCCGTGAGGTTGAAGGACGACATGTGGATCTGTCACTTGACAGGATCACACTGTTTCTGTACATATATATATATGTACAGAGTTACATAGTTACCCAGGTCCCGAGCTGCATTTCTTTTGCTTCGAGTCTTCCCTAGATGCACTCCAAAGGTCTCACAGAACATGCCTCTTCTCTCATGTATGTGAGTCTAGGTAAAGGCACAGAGATGTGAATGTCACTTTTAAAAGCCTTTAAAAGGCAAAGAACATTTTCCTTGTTAAATTTAATCTCTGCCTTCCCTGTATTGATTCTTTCTGGACCCAGAGCATGTATGACTTAGGCCAGTGATTTTCAGCCTTCTTCATCTCATGGCACACATAAGCTGATGACTGAAATTCTGTGGCACACCGAAAAAATAATATTATTTGCCAATCTGACCAAAAAAAATAGGTATAATTTTGATTCATTCATACCGGACGGCTGTTGAGTTGGCTGTTGTCATTTTTTTATTTGATAGTCTAAGGGGAAGGAGGTCAGTGCCCATGACTAAACAGTCAGGTATTGCATGTTTTAAAAATTCTTGCGGCGCCCCGGTTGAAAATCGCTGATACAGGCCCACACTCCCCTAACAATTCCAGAAATGGTGAATACATATGAAGACAGGCTGCTGGGGTGGGGCTGCGTTTCTGCACGCCTCTTTCCCTTGCAACACAACCACTGGCTGGCTGGCACCGAGGTCTGGCCAGGGGGCCCTGAATCCCAGGCTCTTTGTCCTGAGCAAACTGTCATTCTGCATAGGGCCCCCAACCCCCTTTCTACTTGCTGCCCACAGCACTGCTGGTCACTAGTGTTAGTCCCACTCTCCCCACCAGAGACCCGCTTTCATTCCTCAGAGGTAGAGAAAGTAGGCAAAATCAGAAAACATTCATTCCAGCCTCACTGTTAGAAAAAGGTACAATCAGGCTTGCTGGACATAGGTGCGGACACATCCCAGTTTTATACATTTCATCTCAAAAAGGACCAGGTCTTCTCATTTTCATTCAGAAAGCATGCTAATAGGGAGTACCTATGTAACCACCATATTTTACCCAAATCTACTGAAATGTATAGAACACAAAAAGTATATCCCTGGGGCTAAAGTTAATATTTGAATATATTTACTTACAGCAGATAGAAGTTGTATACATTTTAAGGAAAATTAATAAGAAGAAGGGAGTGGTTTTGCAAAAGCAGTTTTACCATGGCGATCCCTGAGAGTTGAAGCACTGACCTGAACCTGCCAGGGGGCTCTTTGTGTGTTCCCCGAGTGACTAGAGCGGCTTTGGTGAAGGCAGCAGTGGGGTACAGTGTTTATTCTGTGCTGTAAACCAATTAAGTAGATTATGTTCCATCTGGTGGTTCATGTGTAGGCTTTCAAAGGGCGGCTCCACGCTGGCAAGTGGCCCGGCAGGCTCTGGAGGTAGCATGGTAGTTATTGGTTGCAACCTCACTGTCATACGCTGTGAGGGGCTTTGTGGCTGCCCCACCGAGGCTGGGTGTGGGCTGAGCCCCTCACCCCTGCCAGGTACTGGGCTAGGCAGCAGGGATTCAGATATAAAAAGACACAGTCCTTGTCCTCCAGGGACTCACAGCTTACTAGGACAGAGAGGCGCACAGGATGATCATATACGTCACAACCACAGAAGTGCCCAGGGGCCCGAGGAGGGAGGAGGGAGCGTCACAGAGGACGTAGCCTTTGAGCTGAGTTTTAATGAAGGAAAGACTCTGGTGGACAAGGGGGGAGTGGAAACTGCAGCCAAGAGCAGCGGCAGATGTGCAGGTGGCCCGTGCAGGGGCCTCAGCTCCTTTGATCTGGATGGAGCACGGGGGAGGTGCTGGGGGCGGTGCTGGGGCCAGTGCTGGGGGCAGAGGAGGATGTGGTTGGACAGGGGCAGGGCCAGAGCCAGATCACGGAGGTCTTATGTGCTGTGCTAAGGAGTTAGAGCTGACTCTACAGCAGTGAGGAGCATTACGTCACCCTAATGTCAGGGTAGAAGACTCTGGAGATGCCTACTTCCGGGACAGGGTTTGAACTTTCCTGTCCTAGCAACCAACCCTGTTCACCTGTCCATCATAGGGCCATAGGCTGGTGGGGGAGGGGAGGGACAGGCATGGCTGGACCACTAATGGGTAGGAGTGATAGCCTGGGAACAAGGGCGGTGGGGAAATTCATTTCCGATGCAAGATCTTGGAAGGCTTTATATAGGAATTGGAAATTCCAGATTCTTCCAGACTTCTCTTCTAGAGAATTATTTATGATACTTTAGTCTCTCCCCAACCCCCACCTTTTTAAAAAAAAATAGAGCAAGAAAAAAAATTTTTTTAAGTTTTCTGTGTTTGGAAAAGGCTCTTCTCTCCTTATTTTTCTCCCCTTCTTCCTGCTCTCCATGGTGCATGTCACTCTTTTTGTTTTTAAATATAGACAAGCAGCCTTTTCTCTTCCCTCTCTCACTTATGCCCAGCGAGAAACAGATCCCAAATATTGCCAAAGCTACACTTAGAAAATAGAGAAATTTTTCTTAAGAACCTCTACACTGAACAAGATTTCAGATACAGTTACTGCATTTAATTAATTAGACGGTTATGTTTCTGCTAAATCGTGCAGGGCAGGGGGCTTGTGAACCAGCTGATAAGTAATGATTTCTCTTTCAGCAACTTGACTGCATCCAGACCCACAGTGCAGGCCCCAATGGTCACGCTGGGCTGATGGGCACTTCAGTGGTGTTTGCTCAATGTGTCTGTCTGTGGTCTTGAGGCCTGGCTGGTGATGGAGGCAGCTGTCCAGCTGTTACCCCAGATGTGAGGCCGTGCACCTGCCCTGAGGTCTGCTTTGTACGTGTGAAGCCAAACGGCTTTATTTCTTTATGTCTCCAAATTTTATTACTTTAATCTCTTGGGAAGCGAGAAGGAGAGGAGAAAACAGCCCTTCTTCCACAGAAAGCGGTTGTTGTTTGAAACGCTGACCTCTGTCCCACATGTCCTCAGCTCCCTTGGAACATTCCACGTTAATTATACAGTATGCTGCTGCCATCCACAGCTTTGGAAAACAGATAAATTCCTTTGGCATCCACAGCTCTGGAAAACAGATAAATTGTGGTTGCAGAGCAGTCTGTGCTGGGAGCAGTGAATGAAAAGGAAAAGCCGCAGCCCTGCAGGGACTGGAGGCCGCAAGGTGGCTCGGAGACCGCCAGCCTGAGGGCAGAGAGGCCCGGGAGGGATCCTGTGAGCAGGTGACTGGGAATGCAGGCGGGAGCCAGGCTTTCAGTCCGTCTGATTCTATCTGGAGGCACAAGGGCTCCAGTTCTCAGGTTCCAACGGGAAGAAATGGCTCACCTCGGCTCCTGAGCTCAGCAGCAGGGTGGTCAGAGTTCCCCAGAGACCTGGCCAGTGTCTGTGCCCAGTGGCTTCTTCTCCTCCACCATTTTTTTTCATTGTGATGAAATATATATATCACATAAAATCTGCCATTTAGCTGTTTTTAAGTGTACTGTCACTGGTATTAGTTCCATTTACAATGTGGTGCAACCATCACCACTATCTCTAAAATATTTTCATCACTCCAGACAGAAACTGTACCTGCTAAGCAGTAACTCCCATTCCCTTCCTCAGCCCCTGGCCCCTGCAGAGACTTTCTGTCTCTGAGTTCACCTGCTCTAGATGGTCCCTATCAGCAGCACTGGTCTCTGCCACTCTGCTGCCTCTCACCGGAGCACTCCGCCCTCCCCCGCCCCCGCCCCCCTGGGCTGTCAGCCCTTCTTCCTTGCTCCTCACTGAAGTTATACTTGCCAGGGCCCTTTCTTGATTTCCCGTGACTGGCCTGACCTTTCCCTAGCTGGGAGGTGGAAGTGCTCTTCCTGCCGACCTGGTTGCTCTGTATGAGGGGGTCTGTGCAAGGGTCTTCCCTCCACCACACTGTCCTGCTGAACCAGGAGCGCCGGGCTGTGTGAGAGTAGATGCTCGGGGATGTTTGTCTGAGTGGAACATGCACAGGGTGCTCGCTGTGCACTGGGGGGCACGGGCGCTGTGTCAGAGGGGTCTCCGGGTCCTGGCTGCCTGCGCTCAAGCGCGGGCTTCACCGCTTACTAGCTGAGTGGCTTTGGCTGAATCTCTTAACCCCTGTGAGCCTCAGGTTCCTCATCTGTAAAACGTGGATCAGAGTAGTGCCTCCTCACAAGCCTGAGAAGAGTAAATGAGTTCAAGGGTGTAGCACTTAGCACAGCGCGTCCTCGAGCTGGCACGTGCTGCCTTACAGGTGTGTGCCGCCACCGTAGCCTGGCGGCCGCAAAGCTGTGGGTGAAGCGAGATCACTCATATAAATGACTTCAGAACTGGCTGGCATGGAAGGAGCACTCAGTAATTGTCAGCAGTCATATGTGTGTGTGTGCGTGTGTGTTACATCAAAACCAGCCCAGCTCGGAGAACAGTTCCAGAGGTATTCTCCAGCTTAAAGTCACCACTGTTCTAACATAGGGGGCTGGACCACCCCAGGGGCAGGGGAAACCAACCTGCCTGCATTTCCTGTTCTTCTGAAGACAGGACCAGAGAAACAGGAGCCCCCATCGGAGGGATGCCAAGCGAGAAGCTTCTCGGGGACCTAGCTGAGGTGCGGCCGCTCTGGGAGGTGTCCTCAGTTCACAGTAGTCTTAGCATGTCTACCTTGTTTTCTTTTTAAGTATGGAAACAAAATATGTGCATCCTTTCTAACCCCAGGCAGAAAAGATCCTCACATTCCATCTGAATTCGGAAGACTGTGGAGCCTTACTGTTTATGTGGGTGCCTACAGTTTCAGTCAAGATTCTCATTTTTTTAAACCCACAGAAGAAAAGTTACCCTCCATGAAAACCAAGCTTTATAAAACTTGTCTCTGTGCTCTGATTGAAATGGTCAGTTAAATAGTGTTGTGAATGCTGCCAGGGCATGGAAAAGGGCTGGGCTGGAGGAGCCGCGGCCTCCTCGCAAGTGTGGACCTCTTTCTGAAGGAGGGAGACGCAGAACTAGCTGGGAAGCTGAGCTTCAGTTTCCGGAAGGCAGAGGAAATGTGTATGTGTGCATGTGTGCATGTGTGTGTCTGTGTGTTTGTTGGGGGATGCACTGTGAGAACAGAGCTTGGTTTCTGGGGGTCACACTGTTTCTCCCACTCAGCCCATGTCTGTAGATCCGTCACTCAGAGTGCTCCTTCTGGCTGCATGCGTCCCTCACATGCTGATGTGGACTGGGCCATGCCAGAGGGATCCCCAGTATCCCCTAGCTGGTCCCAGGCTCAGCAGGTATCCTCTACGAGCATGTTGAAGCAGCATGATTTTCTGATGATGATAAAAGGGATTTGCTTCTGTATGTATGTGAGGGCCAGGAGGCTAGCGTGCAGACTGGCTGTCAGTGCTTGCCAAAGATGGATCGGCCATCGGTCTCATTTCTCCTCTGGCCTTTGCTTTAGATTCTAGAAGCAGCACTGTATACATCATGCATTGAGCTGGGTTCCCTGAACCCCTAACTTCTCTCTCTCGAAACAAGCAAGACCTGTCTGAAGCGCCTGCCTGTCTTCCTGCTCCCAGCCCTGCTTCCTCCGAGCTTGAGGACCTATAGGCCAAGGAAAGGGACAGAAGAAGAGGGGTTTGGATAAGTGGTCCTTTTCCATGTAGCTCCTAAAAGCACCTAGCTTTCTACTGTCGAACTGCTGGCCTTCAGTGAGAATCTGATCTACGTGGGAAAGCGCAGTTCCTGTCAGTGAAGATGCCCCGACCCGCAGATCAGGAGGCTTGGGGCCTTGCCCAGCCTCTCAGGCTGGCTTCCACAAGTTAGCAGGTGTCCATGCTCACAAACAAGCACCCAAGTAACAAAGTGACTTGAGGAATGGCCCATCAGCAAGACCTGAACAACCCCTTTCCCTAGCAACATGCATAAGCACTCCGAACTAGATGGAAACCCTTGGTCTAAACGACAGGCCTTCAGGTGTCCCCTGCCCCCGGCTGATCATATGGGGCACAGGTTATGTGCTAGACCCAGGACTAGACCGCAGAAGGACGGAGTCCCGTCACCCACCCCTGCTGTGCACCACAGTGCTCTGTGTGATCTCATTTAATTCTCTGGCAACGCCTCTCATCTGAGGTGCCACGCTCCCCGATACTACAGGGAGAAAACCGAAGCAAAAGGAAGAGAAATTGCTTCTGTGAGTGCCTGCCCTTCAGGGACTGTCCAGCACCTCCTCCCCTCCTGCCATCTCACGGCAGTCTTCGGGTGATGGTTGGTTCCGAAGGAGCTGGCACCAGGATACTGTGGACTGACTCTGAG